GCTATATGAGCCTCTCAATCTTATTGCCTGTTCAATTTTTGTAGGGCCTTAGAAGAATTGGACAAATCAAGTTTTCAGGGCAGATTATTGCATGTTATGGCAGCAAAATTAAAAAAACCAACAGGCAAACAAGAGTAAGCAGCACCAGTTGTAATCAATCTCTATAGCCTTCTAGGTTTCAAATGATCCTTGCTTCCCATAATTATGGTCATTAATCTAACATAGATTTCTCTGTAGGACCGACACAAACCAAGGTTCAAAAACCTTCAAGCAAAAGAGGGAGGAAGAAAGGAAGGCATCTGAAGCTAGTGGGGACACAAGAGCATGGAATAGTCTATTCATGCGCCCTGATACGGTATGTTTTATTGAATATATCACAGAATCTTTCTTTCTTTTTATAAGATTAGTCCTCAGCAGTTTCCCTATGTTAGTTGAATTTAAAGGATGTTCCTGATTTTTCCCGTTGATTGCGAAATTATTTAGCCATTCCCAATCATCACTGATCCTGGCATTGCAATTCACACATTCTTTGACTAATTAACTTAACTATGTTGGAAACTTTACCAATGGATATTGAATATCTCCTATCCTGCTTTGGCCTACTGATAATAGTATTCTCACATTTTTGGCTATGATTTACTGAAGTGCTTCTAAGTGTTCTTTACATCATTATTTTATTATTGACCTCACTTTCATCCATTTTCCTGCATGTTAATAGGTTGTTGAAAACATTGCTAGGAAATATGGTGTGAGTAAGAGTGAGTTACTTGATCGAGAAGCTGATGATCTAGCTGTGCGTATCGCTTTGGGGGAAACTCAAGTGATTACAGAGACAAAAAAAGCCCTTGCAAATGCTGGTGTAAATATCTCTTCTTTGGAAGAAGTTGCTGCTGGTAAAACCGATGGCATGAAAAGGAGCAATCATATTCTGTTAGTCAAGAACTTGCCATATGGTTCGTCAGATGGTGAACTGGCTAAGATGTTTGGAAAATTTGGGAGTTTAGACAAGATCATTCTTCCTCCAGCAAAAACATTGGGCCTGGTATGCATATATGTTCTAATTATAACTTTTAGATAGATTTTGGTTCTTCAAGTTTAATTATCTGAAATGTGCAATTGGCAACTGTGGTCAATATGTGGCACAATCCTCTACAATATCCAGTTTTCAATTTAATATGAACTCTAATTATATTTTTGTCTACTGCAATTTGTTTAACAACTGTTAGACCGCAGCAGTTTTGCATTGCCACACAATCTGAAAGGGAGAAAGAAAAATGAAAGTCTATGTCTTGGGAGCTGGGATTTAGATAAACTGAACATGGCTTTGTGAAGTAAATTAAAGGAATGTTTTAGTAATATTTCACATGTATAACAGGAGGTAATGAGTTAGTCAAGCATCATCTTTTACACTGTTTTGTTGCCAGTGCCGGCATCTCCTTGTTGGGAGCATGTTAGGTTCTGGATAGAAATTTTTCTGCTCTTTCGTGGAGGGGCCGGGGGGTACTTTCTTTTTTCCTTGTTTTAAAACTTATAATGTTGGAACATGTAAACTGTAAAGAACTGTCAGAGTTAATGTCAGGATAAGTGGCTGTTGAAAGGCATATGACTCTTTTCTCCTTTATTGATGTTTTTGGTGCGTGGGATTTCAGGTTATTTTCCTTGAACCAGCTGAAGCTCGTGCAGCATTTAAGGGTTTAGCATACAAACGTTATAAGTGAGTTTTTTCCCACTCTTTTAGTCATTAGGTGAATCTCTTTATAACAATTCAGAAAAATATTATGCAGAAACATTGATTAAGTCTCAAATTATCTTCCTATATTTACTATGTGTTTGATTTTAAGTGGTGCCTGCTTAAACCGGATGGTTGTTGGCGGACTTTACATATGTTTCTTAGGCACTATAGTGGCTTCTACATTTAAATTCTTCAAGTAAGCTAGAATTGGTATTAATGGAACCTAAAATTGGGTTTCTTCCGTTAATATAGGGATGCTCCTTTATACTTGGAGTGGGCTCCTGACAATGTTCTTAACAAGAGTTCAACTTCCGAGGGTGACAAAAAGAATAATGCAGCTGTTGGCGAGCATGATGTCAAGAGGGCAATTCTGGAGCAACATGTGGAAGGAATTTCAGATGCAGATATTGATCCGGATAGAATTGAGGTTCAGCATATGATTTAAGCTCCTTCTTGATTTTCCTTTACTTTGCCCTCTTCTCTTTCCCTTGATGCTGTAATAGTTGCTTTGTTTACTAATCTTTGCTTTGCTACCTCAGTCACGGTCTCTATTTGTCAAGAACCTTAATTTCAAGACTTCTGAAGAAAGCTTGAGGAATCATTTCACTGAACATGTGAAGGAAGGAAGCATACAGAGTGTCAGGGTAATTATTTGGATAGCCAGAACTTAGTGTACAGAGCAGTCAATCTTATCCTTCCAATCCTTATGAGTTTGTCATGTCCTTTGCCAGATAAAAAAGCACTTGAAGAATGGCAAGCAAGTCTCGATGGGTTATGGTTTTATTGAGTTAGATTTGGTGGAGACAGCAACCAATGTTTGTAGAGACTTACAGGTAATTACAATTAATATCGCAAGCTTCACAAACATAGTTTCATCAATTCAAAGTGCAGCTTTTTGATACCCCTTGCTGTTTTAGGGAACTATTTTGGATGGGCATGCTCTTATCTTGCAACTTTGTCATGCCAAAAAAGTAGAACAAGCAGTGAAAAATGTTGAGAAGGATAAAAGTTCAACAAAGTTGCTTGTAAGAAACGTAGCTTTTGAAGCAACAGAAAAAGATCTGAGACAGTTATTTAGCCCATTTGGCCAGGTATTTTTTTATTTAGTATATTATATTTATGAATGATTAAGGACGACATCTCCCCATTACATAACTAAGACTAGTTGTTATCATTATGGTTTTGATGGCTCAGTGCTGAACTGTTTATTGAGCTAACTATTAAGCCACAGAGGCTAGGATATATACAAGTTTGCTTAAGGGAATGAATAGAGCAGTGAATGGTTAAACATTCTTTCAGAACCTTGCAGAGTAAAGAATTAAAAAAAAAAAAAGTGATACTTGATGAGCTTGATTTAGTCACAATTTGGACCAGCTTTATGTTCATGTTTTAACCAAATTTGCAGTTGTTGTTGTTTGCTAAAAGTTTTATGTCTAGTTTGACCCTAGTTTTCTTTTGGTTGTTTAGATCAAGAGCTTAAGGTTACCAATGAAGTTTGGAAACCATAGAGGGTTTGGGTTTGTGGAGTTTGTTAGGAAGCAAGAGGCTCAAAATGCGCTTCAAGCGCTTTCAAGCACCCATCTTTACGGTCGTCATCTGGTAAGTCATGTCCCAGTTTCAACAAAGTTGCATGTCCTGTTTCAGGAGCAACAGCATAACTACTCTCGGTGATTTTCAGGTGATTGAAAGAGCAAAAGAAGGTGAGAGTTTGGAAGAGTTAAGGGCCCGAACAGCTGCTCAGTTCACTGATGAACAGAACGGGTTTCAAAACCCAACTAGGTTATCCAAGAAGAGGAAGAACATGGAATTCTTGGATGGTGACAGCAAGAAGTTTGAAAGGATCGTGGACTGGCGCTTGAAGTGAATCATATAATGATGCAGTGGGGTGGGGATGACTCGCTTTTCTCTTATTTCTTTTCCCTCCCATTTGTTATGTTAGCTTCATTTTTGCTTGTTAGAAGCTAGCATCAATTTTGTAGGCCTCTTTTGCCTTTATTATTATTTTTTTATTTTTCTGAAAAGTAAATGAGCAAAGTGTAAAATATAGGTACTTCACTTTGTGTAAATTAACCACTTTATATCAGCGTTTCTGCCTTCTCTTTTTACTGTCTTTTCAATAACAAATGTTCTTAGTTCTTATATTTACTAGCCACGAACTTCTATTTTCTTCGCAATCATTACCATTTTCCAAAAGTTCTGTTAATTTGGCAATGAATGTAAGTGGAATGGAAGTCAATTGAACCTTTTTTTTTGTGGTAAAATTTGTGAATATGGTAGAAAAAGTCGAGCAGCTACTACAGGTGAACTGATCCCGACCCTTGTGTTTTCTCTGGGGGCGAATGTTCACAACTCTTTCCCAGTGTTGAACAGTAGCAGAATATGATCTGTTTGGTCATCTTTGAGTTTTGGTCTCATAGAAATGCAAGATTTCTGGTTTGATTGAATCAATGATGGGTCCCAATGAGTTAAATCAATGCATAGATGGAGAAAATTAGATAGCTTCTTGTTTTCCATATATTATCTCAGTAAGTTAAGAAACTTAGCAATGTTTTTCTGGGTCGGGGAAGAAAGAAAAGCGATTACTATAGAAGACAATGTTTGATAACTTGATGGAGTCAATAAGGGAAATCAGACGAGTTGGTGTTCAAGCGACTGGGATCCTCCCTTATAGAGTTCCAGTGGTGCTGAGGATCATAAGTAATCCTATTCTATGGAGTCAAAACACCAAATGACACCATTGCTTTATGTTGCCAAAAACAGAAAACTATCCTTTTTCAGTATACAATTCTTGGTTTATATTCTTCATCTTTTTACTATGACTAGAATACTAATAATCTGAATCTGTAAAGGTGCTTATATTTCCTTCTCTATTAACTTTTTACCATGACTGGTACTGAAAATTAGCATAAATTTTTCTTTCTGATGAAAACCCTTTTGATATAATCAGAGTTATAAGCAATTAAAACAAAGACAAATGGAGGAGGGAGATTGCATTGAATTTTCTGTTAGCTATATCCGCTGCACAGTTTCAACAACGAAAAGTAGTAGTAATTTCACATTGAAGGTGAGTGGTGCGTATGTCACTAAAATTACAGCGAAAGAAGAAAAAAAGAGGCAAAGAACATCAGAGGGTGAGACAACTGTATCAGATTGCAACTCCTTCTGCGCGGGCTTTGGGAGTAACTCCGATCGGTATGCTTCTGCCCTTACCACCATGCTGCAATATAAAACCAAGAAGAGACATGGCCGTGT